CACTACAGTTGACAGTCATGATGTGTGTAGTGTGGTAGATGTACCACTACAGTTGACAGTCATGATGTGTGTAGTGTGGTAGATGTACCACTACAGTTGACAGTCATGATGTGTGTAGTGTGGTAGATGTATCACTACAGTTGACAGTCATGACGTGTGTAGTGTGGTAGATGTACCACTACAGTTGACAGTCATGACGTGTGTAGTGTGGTAGATGTAACACTACAGTTGACAGTCATGATGTGCATAGTGTGGTATGTAGATGTACCACAGCAGGTGAATTGGCAGACAGTCATTACTAGAGAATAATGTGACAATTAAATGATGACAGTGTAGATATTTACCATGAAAGACTTTGCTTTTTCCTGTTTAGTATTTTCTTCATTTAATTGAAGCATTCATTGTTAAGTTATTTTACATTGAAATTTGCTATACAGAAGGGCTTGATGTTGCCTGTTTTTTCCCAGATCAAACTGTTTTGTTTACCATTCAACCACTTCATTTTAGTCAACACTTACCCTGGCACTTGCTCTGGGACATAATGTTGTTCTACATTGGGACTGGCAGAGGAACACAATTCTTCACAGGGTGAAATGTGAAGAGAAATGCATTTTGTATCCTTTTTTTGAATAAAAGATCATAAAAATCATGCAAACATTAACAAAGAATAAAGAAATTTAAGAAAACATAAATTTGCAGTTTGCAAACTAGAAAATGATTTATTTTCCAGTTGAAAAAGGATTTATGTGTGCATATTTAGACACCTTATTTTTTAAATAGGTATTTATAATTCATAGAAATTGAGAGGTTCTTAACAACATTTGAAGATATTCTGCTAGATTTATCGGTCACACATGGAGTGACCTGGTCTTAGCAGCAGGTACAGTGTTTAACCAAGTTGTCCTATGGCCAGTCTGTGGTCAACAAAATAAAGAGGGTCATCAGAAGGTCATTCATAGACTATCTGGTCATGAGGTAAGTTAAAAGATTAAAAAATAACATCTTGTATAATAAGATTAGTTGTCACATTTCACTCTTGTACTAAGGCATTTAACAATATCTGTTAAGAATTGAATGTCATGTTAATTTTTTTCTTTTAATTGTTTGATGTTTTTCTTCTTTGCAGGGTGTCATTTTCTCCATTGCTTTCAGCTACCATAATATGTGTCTTTGTTCCGTCTCTGATGATCGCAGTATCAGGATATGGCAACTATGTGTAATACCTGAAGGGCAAACTGACGGAAGATTGTCCTTAAACTCTGAAGGTCCTACAGGTGCAGCAGTAGACCAGAACTCCAAAAGATGCACAGATGGAAATTTGACTATGCCAGGTCATTTCAGAAAGAAGGAAATCCCCATGGATGTCTGGTGCAGGATGCAGTATGAGTTGAAACATGTTATGTATGGCCACAGTGCACGTGTGTGGGATGTCAAGCTACTCAGGGAATTGCTGGTCACTGTGGGAGAAGTAAGTTTGATGGTTTGAAAGTAAGGGTGATCCATTTTGGTTTTAATTGAAGAATTAATGTATTTGTGATATCAGTTTCCAAACTTGGAGATTTGTTTTATGTATTTCAGAATCTTTGAAAACATAAAAAATCATTGACATTTTTCTGTTAATGTTTCTGGTTTATTTTTAGGATTCAACCTGCTTGGTTTGGAATTATGAGGGCCAAGTTTTACAAAAATTCAAAGGACACAAGGTGGAATATTTCAGATTGTGTTTGCCTGTAAACTGTTATTACACAGCATTTTAAAAACCACATCAAGTAACACATAATGTGAATGTGTTGCAATACAGCTTGTTAATTTTGATGAAAAGTTTTGATCTGGATTTTTTCAAAAATTTAGGTGTATGTAAGCTTCTTTTGTGTAATAATCATTTGTCACTTAAATGCATTTGTCATTTAATGATTTTTTAAGGGCAAGAGCATATGGAGTTTGGCAGTAAATGAGACAGACTCTTTAGTGGTATGTATTCAAGGCAAACCTAAATCATGGTAAATAACATACATGTAGAATTTGGCCAAAACTATTAAAATGAGACACTTTCTCCAATTACTGAACATTCTTTGCAGTTAAAAATGTGTCAGTTTTGCAGGGAAGCTTTTGTTATATTTTAAATACGGCAGCATATGGGCCAATAATTATTAGATTTTTGTCTATGGTGACCTAATTTTATTTTGACAGATTTCTGGGATGGGTCATACGGAAATTAAAGGGATAATAACTCTTCGTATGAGATCTATATTTCACAATAAAAACCTTGTGAATAACTCATAGAAATATAATATATTCTGTTTTACCACAAAAACAGCAGTTATAGCTTTTATTCTGATATTTGAACTTGTCTTTAGACCACGTGACCTCCACTGATGTCTATACTCTGTTAAAATCTCTTAAGAGATTTTAACAAAAAACCAAACTTTTTAGAAAAAAACCAGGGACTAACTTTGAATGTAAAAATGGATTCATTAACCATTGGTAAGTATGGGAAAATTGTTGTTTACTCCAGGAAAATTCATTTTTTGGCCGAAACGAAGAGTTATTATTGCTTTAAATAACTTAATTTGACTGGAAAAAATTCTTGGTTCAGTTGCTCCCCCATAGTGTGTATGAAAACTGAGATGATTAAAACCTTATGATGGCCTGTAAATAAGATTTACTTATATTTTACATTTCTGTTTTGTTTCAGGCAACAGGTGGGGGTGACTGCAGTGTCAGGTTGTGGCACCTAGCATCTGTTAGCTCTTCAACAACCAATGCCATCACTTCGCACCCCGTCACTGTATCCTCAGAACTCAAGGTAATGGTTTTGTGGGTATGAATATTATATATAAAAAGTTTAATCACATTTCAATTATTTCCATCAATTTCTTATAATATATTAGTATTAAGAATAGTTTACAGTATGGCAGGTTTTAGAACTGATATCCATTTTATGAGGCATATTGAAAAACCTTGCATGAATTGATATCCACATTTGATTAAATGGATTTGAAATGATGCTTTCCTTTTTATTTTTGTTTATATTTGAAGGAAGAGGACTTCCCAAGATCTGTTGCACTATTAGATGACAATGTTGTTCTTATTATGACAAATGAAGGGTAAGGAGGCATTAAACCAAATTTTGATCCTAATGCATATTATTTAAATAAACAGTCTGTATTTTGTAGACATGCAAATGAAATACAGTATCTTAATACAGTTGAATATTTGATATGTTTATTAGGCAATGCATGGCCATTCATCTTTTTTTCCCACTGTTGATGCGGTTGTGCTATAAAGCCATCTTCTCTCTTTTTTTTTTTACCTTGATCAGAAAATTGCTGTGTCATACCAGTGGTAGTGGTTCTACAGTGTGGATGCAGGATTCAAGATACAGGTCCTACAGTCTGCTCTCTGTGTCCCCAAACAAAACACTAGTTGCTGTTGGAAATATTCATGGAGATGTCAAAATATTTCATGTTGGTATGTAGATAATTTAAAACCATTCTAGGTTTATACTGGTTGATACTAAATGATATTTGCCTAGAACCCTGCAAGTATCTGTACAAGTTCTGTGAGCATAGAATAATTTGTGTATAGTCAATTCCATATTTGTTTAACAGATTTAAGCATATTGGACAAAGCAGGCATTTTTTTTTTTTTTTTTGTTTCTTCATAGATGGAAATAGAATTGTCTGTCAGGAGGCTGAATATCATGTCTATGAGGGCAAAGTAATGAGTATCTTGTGGTTAGACCAGTGTACCCACTTCATCACATCTGGACCAAGTGGAGCTTTGGTAGGATTATACAATTATACATATTTCACAAACTAAGTTTGATGTATGAAATTCAGATGCTTTTAAAATAATTTTTGGGTTTTTACTGTAAACAGTTATGTTTTTTAATTATTATAGCTGTTGCTCTTGTTATCATTAGGATCATTATATTTACTGTCATTATTTTTTATTAAATCAACATCTGGTGCCTTAAAATATGCACATGTTCATATGTATGTGAATTTTGCCAAAATTGGAAAATAAATGGAATAAGAGTAACGCCAAAACTATATTTACATAAAATTGATGTGTAGTTATATTTGATATATGTTGAATGAACAGTGCTAAGTTGCACTCTGAATACTTCCAGACACTGTGGGAAGTGACACCAAGTTCCACTAACATTAGGTACGCAGCTGTAGAACACTTCATACTCCCTAGCTGTAAACAGCGTTGGATATCAGCTGCAGCAGTATTATGGGATAGCTGCATCTTGGTGTGTGGCGATAGAGGTGGCTCTGTGCATGTGTATCCAATGAAGAACACTGAGGTACTAAATATGGCTGAATAGGAATATATAAACACCGCTAATGAGCAAAGTCTGTAATAAACAAAATACTTGACATTTTTTCTGCCATAGCCTAGTATGTGATTGTTTGTATAAGTAAGACTTGGAGTGTGATTTGACTTTTGTGAGAAGTGTATCAAAACACCCCTGAAATGTATTTTAGTTCAATATTAGATTGTTCACATAGTTAATGCAGGAGAATGTGATTGCCTCTTCGATATAGAATTTTTTGCTTTTGGCTTACAATTCTCTTCATCATCAACTGTCATATGTTGCAGCCAGAAGCCTTTCCTGCCCAAAGTTTTGCAAAACTCCATGGCAAAGCAGGTGTGACTGATGTTTGCATCCATGCTGATTATGTCTATACTTCTGGGAGAGATGGTCAGTACAGGCAGTTCAGAGTGAGGGCTGGTCAGCTGGAGCTTATGACCAGTAGTAAGGTCAGTGGAAGTTACTATTTACTGATTTCTTTTAATCATATTAGATTTATTGGCTGTGCAGGGCCAAAAAGAAAGCCATAATATCCTGTGTTTTCTAAGAGAGATGACATATGATTGTTTAATGTCTTTGATTTACCACCAGTAATGAAATGAGGTTTCATTAATGGAAATACTATTTTGTTAAGTGTGATTAGTATCATAGGTCACCCCTTTTTGCCTTTGGTTTTAATGCACCTAATCGGATAGCATCCTATTTCACTGTTCAAAGGACTGTAAAGTGGCAATAAATCTCAACTATTCTTTCAGGTTTTCAAGGGATTTGAATGGATTGACCGAATGATTTTCCAAGACCAAAACATGATTATACTAGGCTTCCACACAGTAAGTGTAGCTCACTCATTCTTAATATGTTGTTAAAATAATGTGATTTATTACATACTTTTTTTACCAAACCGGTCACATGGTATAATATCATGTGAATGATATAAATCCCTCAGCAGATAAATAGATAAAGTGATGAATATATAATAACATCAATGTATTATTGTTTTATTCAGTCCAAGTTTGTTGTCTGGAGCTTGAATCACAACCAGAAACTTCTTGAGGTAGAGTGTGGAGGTGGTCACAGAACATGGGACTTTGACTTAGGACGGGAGAGATGTACATTTGTATACCTCAAAGCAAAGGAGGTGGTGATGTGTAAGGGGGCTATAAAACTAGAAGAACCAATATTATTGGTAAGTGAAAAATAAATTCCTTGAATTTCTTGAGGTGTTTTACTGTCATTAATATTTTGATTGGCAATCATAAGGAAAAAATCCTTAATTATTTTTAGTTTAGATAGCTATTATAATTGTCATATTTTATTATTTTGTCTAAGAAGATACTTGATGATTATTGTAATTGTTCTTCACTTTTTTTAGCCAAGTCTGCATGGCAGAGAACTCACCAGTGTACTGCATCTGTTCTCTTATAAAGGTGATTATTAAACAAATATTTCATTATTTTGTCTTGGAATTTTTGTTCAAGTTAATGTATATCTCACATTAAGCTCTGAATTAACCTAGTTTGCACTATGCTCGACTTCTTTGAACAGATATCTTGCATGAAGTGAATGTGTAATCTTTACTATCATTTAAATTCTGTTATAGATAAACACATATGTGCAACAAGCAGTGAAGACACCATGGTCAATATTATACAGCTTTCATGTATCCTTTTTGAGTGAGTTATGAATGAATTTAAAATGAAATATAATATAAGTAAAAGTTTATGGTCATCGTTATAAATCAATTATCCGGTTTTAACTAATTAAAATCGTTATAAATCAATTATCCGATTTTTTTGACTAACGATACCTGTAGATATAAATATTAAAATATTTATATATACAGGTATCGTTAGTCAAAAAAATAATATAGATTATGAATGTATTAAACATTTACAATCACTACAAAATTATAATCATAGCTATCTAATATTCTGTTAATGTGTTTTGTTCAGCCTTAATATAAAAACACAGCTCCTGGAACTACCATATGTAGTGATCTCAACATGACAGTGCTCAAGACATTGCAGGGTCATCTGTCCAGTGTCAGGACATTAACTTCAGTCAGGTCATCTCATTTGGCAGGAAATATAACACAATCAAGACTGCTGTTTTCAGGTGGTGGAAGAGCACAGGTGAAGTGTTGGAAGATTACAGTTTCAAAGCGTGAATCATGTGCTGATTGTCAACTTTCCAGTGCAGTAGTGAGTACTGTCTCTGGAAGTAACATGCCATGCCCCAAATGTGCCAAGAATAAAAAAGTGGCAGATTTTAGTCAAAGTGCTGATGACTGTGAAGTGGAGTGCAGTATAGAACTTGTCTTTTCTCACATGTTGGATGAAAAAGGAAAAAGAAAAAGGAAGTCACAGATCAATTCTTGTGTGTCATCTAACCCAGAAACCAGATTCATGTCTCTCACTGCATTTAGAGCAGGTGATATATGTTCTGATTTTCAAGAAGATGTAGTTTTCATTGCTGCTGCTTGTTCTGATGGACTTGTAAGGTTAGTAGAAGAATGTCTGTTTGTAAAAACTACATTTAGTTCATCAAGGTATTGTTCATTAACTATTGCTTGTGAAATTTCCTGATGATTATGTTTGTTAAAATTCAGTATTCTACATGAAAAAGTTAGAATGTCAAAGTCTGTTGCATGTGTTTGTGTGTGTGTGTTATTTTTTTCCATATTTTTTGTATCATGCAGCATTACTTATGGTTGATATATTTTTTCGAAGTTTGTTTCTTTCACAGGTTATTTGCATTCCATGAAACGAACAAAAGCTTCATCGTCTTGGCAGAATCCACTTTCCATGACCACTGTGTCTTATATATTGGACACCTGCTGATTCAATTCAACTCAACTTCTGAAGTTGTGATATACTCAGGTGCTACAGATGGGAAAATTGCTTTCTTCAATGTTTCAAAGATGGTCAAGGAATATGTGGCCAAATGTGTACATGTGAATTTTGAGGAGAACCAGTTAAAAAGTGAACATCGTGCAAAACAAACTACAAATTTATCATACATAAGTTGTACAGAAGAAGACGGTGTAATACCTGACTACCTCAGAAAACAATTTGCAAGAACAAATGAATATTACGACCTGCCTGCTTCCATAGAGGAGCCTTTCTTAGTCCTCCCTTTGCATCAGTCTGGTATCAGTGCTGTAGATGTGCAGTTCATAAAAGGCAAGATTATAAACAGATGGTCAACTTAATTAAACTGTATTTATTTTATTTACCTTTGGAAGAGAATGTTGCAATGAGTTGTTTAGCAAACTTGGTACAGTACTATAGACCAGTGAAGTTGTTTCCATATTGAGAAAGAGAGACACTTAAGAAGAAAACTGTATGTTATGCCTTTGTATATTCAGAACCAATAAAATATATTCATGTCAGTTTTCATTTTACACAAATGTTTGATCACTTCAGAGGAAATGCTATCAATATAAAATCAAATTAAGCAGTAATATTTGTACTTATAGGATTGCTATCTTTTCTATTTGCAGCTGGAGAATACATGGTGGCCAGTGGTGGAGATGATAATGCCCTGCATGTCACACACATTAGGCTTTGGAGAAACCAACAAGATGACAACATCAGTGGTGAAGAGGTCATGAGAGTTTCCATGGCAACTGCCCATGCAGCACAGATTACATGCAAGTGATTTATGTTTTGTCTAAGTTGTTATACATCACTTACAAGGTCAGAAAGCTAAAGAACTGTGAACAGTATTTAATGGTAAATATTCAGTTTTCACTTTCAAATTATTTTTAGTTATGAGACCATAGTTGGAGAGTTAGAAAACATGGAAATTACATTTCCTATGTGATGCCTTTCTAGGTGTTCATTTCCTGGACTCTACCCATGTTTTGACTGTCAGCATTGATCAGAGAATGGTCATTTGGACCCTGCAAGCAGAGACATTTCAGGTGAGAACTGAAGTGTGGTTTGTGTGATGAGTGAGGCTGAATTGGAACCTGGTGGGTGTGCTATAGGTGACTTACAATTTAAGGGGTGGTAGGTGAGACTGATGGTAGATGGTGCTAGGTGAGACTTAGAACAATTTTGACTCATTTGGCAGCTTAAGTTTTTACATTTTTGATATCTTCTTATACAGTGTTACTTCACAGCAAGCTATGCCAATTTTTTTAAATAGAAGGGGAAATTGATACAGTGATCAATGTTGTCCTTAGAAATTTGTCTTGATTTCAGTTCAATATGCTTGCAGCAAGGTATGTGAGTGTGTCTGACGTTGCAAGCATGGACATTTGGAACAAAAGGTACTTATTTGTAACGCAGTTGTTACATAAGCAATGAAAAAAAATTGATTAGCTTTTTGAAAGCTTTGTTTTTAAAGTAAAGTTCAGTGTTGAAATATGAACATCTTGTTACTGAAAGTCAACTGGATATCAATTCTTTTCATTTTCCTCCACTAGTGAAAAAAGTTGCAGTGCAGCAGTAGTTGGAGTAGGAATTCAACTATTTGATGTATCATGGAGATGACACCTCTTTCAGCTGCAGATCATTCTAGGAGGCCAGCCTGGTTCATTTGAAACCTTTGGACATGGCTGTGTTGCATAGGTCAAAGTGTCATTTGAATCAATATTTAAAAGACAAGCTGTATAGTCACTGGATATAAGTTTTTATTTTAAAATTTTAACAACACATTTCTTTTTTATAAATATTTATAATAAAGCTAACTACAAAATTGAAAATGTGAACTGTTACCGTAGCTGTTTTCACTTTAAAAGGATAACAATAAGTAACAGGACGGAATATGAGAAGCTGGTAACAATATCAAAGCTGTAATAACAAAACACCTGTGAAAAGTGCACAACCTTGATTAGCAACTGAAATTACTCAGCACATATTTTTAAACAAACTTCATATATCAGATTTCATTCATGGAATGATGTGCAACTTCAGTTCAATAATAGCATAACTTGTTTACAGTGGGTGTATGGAAGATTATATGCATATTGCACTGAAAGATATAATGATATTCATCCATTATCTGTTGAATGTAATGGAAGAGGCATTAACTTTTCAAGATTAAATAGGTATACCCACCTAAATGAACTCGTGATAATAAATATTATATACAAATGAATGGTGGTAGAGCAAATCATAAAAGGAGTTTCATCTTATTCCAAATTAATTTTTTTTTCAATTGTAATGGTTCTTTGTTAAAGTGCTACCTGAGATGGTGTGAAAATGCCATGCTTTAATATTAAATATATGCTGAGCAAAAATATAAATGCCCCACACACTACTTAAAAAATTTTATCAGGATCATAATAATTTTGTTTGATCATAAAAAGTGAATAATGTTGTTCAATGTGCTACAGATAAAAATTACAATAATAAGACAACATCAGTTCATTTAAAGTTGCCCATTACGTGCTAAATAATTCACATGGGGGATTTATATTTTTGCTCAGAATATTTTCTACTGGAGATTGGAATGATTAAATGACAATTATATCTGTGTAATTTATCTTCTGGTTGGTCCATACCCTGTACCCACAGGACCAGAGGGATTAGATGGCCTGAGCTGGTCAAGTCTCTGTTGTAAATCTTCAATTCTAATGTCTTTGAGATGAAGCAAATGCTCCAACCTGCGCACTTTCGCATTAAGGATCTGGAAAAGTTAAGTGCAATACCGTCACAGGTGCTATTTATTACAGGGACGTGATATACAATGTTTCTCCTGCAATGACAGAATATATTAATCATTCATAACAAGAGTAGTTTTTGTGAGTTACACACACACACACAAACACACACACACACACACACACACACGACTACCTTTATACTATACAAGACTACCATTAAAAAAAATCCAATTTGTATTTTTAAAGAAATTTGATAATAATCACATGATATAAAGTATTAAATACGCACATGCAATGAAAATACTGAACTGATCAGTTTAATTATGGAAAGTTGGTATGAAAGTTGTTTTCTTTGGTTTTTAGATTAATCTATTAAACAGTGTGACATCCTTGCAAGATGGTTGGAGATGTATGCACCAAATAATAATAATAATCTCTGTGGCCTCAGCTAAAGACCAAGCTGTAGAAGTAAATTGGTTTATTACCTGTATTGTTTCATCTTTAGCTAAACATTCCTGCTGTTTCTCTTCAAACTGTACTTTTGATACTGTGTCTGTTGCTGGATAGACCTGAGCAGTAGGTTGTAATTTGCTGCAAAATGAGAATAAAATGTTTTGGAAGTTCTTTTATAGTGAACAAAAAATATATAAATTTCACGAAAGGTAAAGCTGTGGTGACATTTTTTATAGGTTTAAATTGTAGTTGCCAACTTTCAGTTGAAAACATCTCACCTTTGACTTCCGTGGTGTTGTGGAACTGTGGGAGATTCTTGTTTGGAAGTATTTGGACCTTTCTTAGCTGCCCCAGCAGCACCAGTAGCTCCCTTGACAGGGGCACCTTTTAACCCTGTTTTGCCTTTATTTCTTCCTCTGGGAGAGGCTGTAACAGAGCAAAATAATGTGTTATTGGTATAATACTTCTTAATTTATATCACGTGTTTAATGGGTTTCATTTATATCTTCCTTTTTTTGGAGGGGGGGGAAGAATTTGAAAAAAACAAAACAAATATAACAGTTCCTTAATTTAATGCCCTTTCAAATTCCTTATCAATATTACTTGTTACAAAATAAAGATGCTATAAAAACTAGCCAGAAGCTAGTAAAATATGATTTAAAATATCAATCCTCAATAAGGTTTTCAATGAAACATAACAACTGTAACGGTCTAAGGAAAATAGATTTGTCTTTAAGCTTACTGACTTCAGATTACTTAATCAGCTTATTTTGCTTTTTTTTTTAAGTGTAGCTTTTAAAATAAATTTCAAAATCACCCAGACAATAATAATTTAAGATTTAGTGCATAGATAAAAAGTTAAAAGAGGAAGGTTTCAAAAAATGTACTTTAGTTACTCCAGTTATTTTGATATATCAAAATACTAAGATTAGTGATGAAGGAAGTCTGATACTCAAATAATAAGAACTAGTAAAAGATCATGCTACATAAACTGGATGCTATCACAGAGAAACCACTATATTGCACTATTAGTTTACTAATTCATCCAAATGAAGCATTTTTATTTACAGAAAAGTGTCTCCAATCCTATCCTAGTAGAGAATCACTAAAACTACACTGTGCATGGTTCTATGATGCACGTGCCAGACTCACCTGGGGATGCAAATGAAGCCACATAGGGACTTTCTATAACAATATGACAGAAATGTTAATTAGATGAGTGCAAGTGTATTCCAAAGAACCACACACTGCACTTCATATTTCCCTCAAAAAGTGTTACAAATCATTCAATAACATTCTAGGTTATACCAAAACACTGTGCAAGAATGATTTCTTTTTTCTTCTCACTAAAAGTCAGTTGGAGTAGGGATGTTCTTGATCTCTGATTAGGAAAGTGTTTTAACACATTTAAAAACATTTAATATAACTTACTCTGTTCCTGGTCTACTTCAGGCTTTTCATCCTGCTTTGGTGGAGGATGATCCCTTTCCCACAAGATCCTGTCTATCTTTGTTCGAAGTGCCATCAAAACATGTTCTATCACCACTGGTTTACAAGTACATATAGCCCTAATCACATCATCTGCAACTTCGAAGTTCAGCTTTTTGAAAACTTTTCTGGAAAAATATTGACAAAATTTTCAATCTAAGTAAAATATCCTGAAATCTTTGTCAATGTGAGAATAAATTGGTTGCAAAGTACATAATATCCTGTAGTGCAGGCTTCAAAGGGTTTATTGTTCTAAAGAGAACTCTTTTATATAACAATTGGTAAACTTTAAGTTTGACTCTGTGACTATAAATTATGAACAAATTACAATTATCCACAAAGATAAAGAGTGCCTGAAATATAAAAATGATGAAATTAGCTGTTTGTTATCAAAGATTGTTTCCACTAAAAATAATCATTTATTAAAATTGTCTATGAAAAGGGTTTCAAAATAATAGCTCATAAAATTCAAACTAAAGAAAATTACTTGGCATAAACAGCAGAGAAGTTAAAAAACAAACAAACAAAAGTAAAGAATAGGGCAGGAAAAATCCAAAGATAAAGACCACTGAGGCAGTACATTCAGATAATGGCAGGGACCAATAAAATTAGTACTAGTACAAAGATCACACGTGTACACAGTATTGTGTGCAATTGCCTAACAGAAGGTCTCTCCACACTTAAACTACCTGTTAAGCACATGCCAGTTTTCCATCTTCTGATTACATGCACTGGCTACTGGATAGTTATGAAGCTCAACATAACCAGGGAAAAAGTGATTCACTACCTCAGCTGCCATCACTAAAATTCAATTGGGAGTTTAAACACAGAAATGAACTGAGCATGTTTGTGGCTATATATTATTAGCTTCCCAGTGTTTATCAAGTCACACACAAAAAGCCTTTTGGATATTCTGATTAGCACGCTGCATTCCCTGTTGTTCAGACAACACCACAACACTGTCAAAACAGCAAACTTGTTCATTTGTCATCTTGAAATATTATGTATAATTTATGTTGGGACTCTTGTGAACTGGTCTAAACATTTCAGGTAAATGATACAGCATGTGCAGAAACATACCAAAGTGCATGGTGATAGTGACTTAATATAAACACTTCCAAGCAAAAAAGCAATGCCTGCAGCATTCATTGATTGGTATAATAGGGGAGATTAATAAGTTATCGATACATATGACCTAATTTAATACCTCTGCATTATCACTATTATTATAATTGATTTTTTTGCCAAAGGGAGGTTTTCCAATCAATAAAATACTGAGTCATTACTGGAGATAGCAATCATCCTTATGGATTTTATACCTGTTCATTAACCTCCAATTTGTTTCTTTCTGGTCAGTTGCATTTGATGCAGGATAATTATGTAAATCCACAAGTTTAGGAAAGAAATGTTTTACTACTTCTGCTGCTAAAACTGAAAAATACCCATTACAAATAGTTGATTAAATATAGAGTTTTTCTTATGGGCAGTAACAAATAAAACCTATTTTATTTTATCCGTTCATTACATTTTGTTGAAGAGTACACAGATTATATTACCACAAAGCTATGTGTTAGCACTCTTATTTACAGTTTCTGATATGTAGTATTTATATGCATGATAGACAGAGGTGCCTATTGCTACAGAATGAGGGCCAGCTTCTAATATAGCATGCCCAACACTATGTGGGGGCTCTCAAATCACTCCTTGACACTAACAGCATTATAAATAAGTTGAGATAAATCTGCTTTCCTATCAGTTATGCTGCTGTGAAATCACACACCCATTGAAGATCACCATGGACTTCTGAGGTGAGAGGTACTAGTAGCAATTGATTTGAGAGCTCCCAAATGGCTAGTTAGCCATCACTTGACTATTACATCCACCTTTATAGATTGAGTGTAAGCACAGTAAGTACATATCAGAAACTGTAAATAGGAGTTGTAATGCTTTTAACTTTGTGCCATGTTGGGTTACATATAAACATCTTAAAACATATCGATAAAACTGTACCACTAAGATATGCTTGATGACAATGCTTGATGCAATGCTATGTCTTGTGAATGTTCATAAAAAATCTCTTAATAATCTCACAAAAAATAGATCCATGCAAGAGACTCATAAGAGTTTTTTTGTTTTTATTTGGTGTTTCAAACCATGTTCAACCCTACCTCAATATATAATATTGCATCCACAACAACAAAACAACATTATTAAAATGACAAAAAAATAATGATAGTGTTGGAGCCTTTTTATAGCTCCCTCACCAAAGTCACAGGAGTTAATAATTGATGAAATAAAACTAACATTTATGACTGGGTTCCCATACTTAGATTGATCCATCTGGATCGACCTAACTCCCTGGGGGTTCATGCTAAATTGCTATCAGCTCAAGATGCTTAAATGTCTGTCACGCCTACTGATAATTACCCCCTAACAGCTTTACTGGGCGTGACAGACATTAAAGCCGGTTACGTTGATAGCCATTTAGTGAGACTCCCTAAGGAGATAGATTGATCCAAATATCCGTGGGAATGGTCCCTATAATTTACATTTCAACAAAATATTCAGCTTTTTTTCCAGATAATCAAAAAAAGGTAACAGATAATAGCTTATTACATTAATAAGACACGATAATTTTCTATAGTTTCGAATTCTTATTTTCAATCTCTAGGGTATTTAATCAAAACACATACCTCCATCGGAGAAATCTCTAGTTATATTTCGTTTAGGACGCGAAAGTGGAATGCCATCAATCCAACTGTAAAGTTCTTGCAGAACTTCGTCGTCAATTTCTGCCGAGAGATCTTCGTTGCCCTTCATGTGTAAACAATTGAGTGATGTTATTTGTATTAGTCTTGCGTAACCTTAATACTTTTGACAAAATTATAACTGACAATTCAGATGAGACAGCAATTATCTAATTTTTTTTTTCTGAAATTCTTCCTCTGCGACTTCCACTGTTTACATTTGTTATCGAAACGGAATCTATCCCACAATTCATGACGTCAGCTCTGCAGTTAAAAGCTACGGAAATGCAAAAATGGTAAGGTGTTTTTTTTTTTGTTTTTTGTTTTTTTTTGTTTGTTTGTTTTTTGTTGTTTTTTTTTGGGGGGGGGGCTTTAGTATAAAATGAACTTTTACACCGAAACATGCGACCTTTAGAATGTAAGGTGCGAGAAAGTTCTCTGCGGACTAGTTTAAAACTCTTCTGCGTGAAAAGGAAATAAACCAGGAAAAAGCAGGAAGTATGAATCAGACAATTTCTGAATTGTGGACATTTATTCTGATAACATTTAAGAATTTGTTTTTTCCACACTGAAACGGTTCTTTGACACATAGTGAATGGTGATTAGTTCAGGGTAAAGTGGCATAGTTGTCAACAAAATCAGGAACTCGAGGAAGTAAAAATGCTGCACGTTATATTATAAGTTTAAGATTCAGAGTGAAACTAGGTTATGGTGTAAAAAGACTAACTTCGCCGAACAATATTCCTCTTTTAAAATAAGGGTTGAATTAATACAGATATCTAGACAACCTCTAGATACATGTACATGTAGGTGCGGGTCAATGTCAATTGGAACCTGTTAATATAATGAATATTTTTGTTTGAATGATGCAACTTTTTATTTTTATTGAAAGCTGAACCAAGTACTATGAGAAAATGATGGAAGGATTTATTATATGCCTCATAAGTGTAGCTGCTGCTGCATTTTTTATCCACCTAACGGATGGTCAATTACAGTGGCAACAGATACAGCCCCACCCTTCTTCTCCATTACCACCTACCAGAAGAGATCATGCCATAGGATATATACCACAGAAAAACACACTGATAATGTTTGGAGGACAAGGGAATGGAATTATATATGGAGACACATGGGTTTTTAATTTCAGTAATTGATACATATGTCGAGACACTTGATGATAAAGACATTAAAAATAATTTACATTAACAAATTGTCATAATTGTAATGGAATACAATTTTATTTAGATATCTAAGACAACAGGTAATTATCCTGGAAACTTATTGAATCATAATAAAAATGCTTTATTATTATTATTATTATTATTATTATTATTATTATTATTATGTATTTATTTATTATTATTATTTATTTTTTATTTATTATCATTTTATTTTATTATTATTTTTTTTTTTTTTGCTATCAGATTCAAGCAGATGGAAAGAATTTAAAAAGATGCTATCCCCTCCTCAGAGATACAGTCTGGTTTATGGAGTGTACAAAGACTACTTCTATATAACCACTGGGCAGGATGACATAATGACCTTCAGTGATGTTTGGCGTTTTGATATCAGGTGTTTATTACTTGAAAATTTTTCATATATAGCCTCTGCTTATATCCCAGAGGCATATCACATACTTTTAGAATAACACAATTTCAACAATTATTCACAGCCAAGTCTTTAAAGGTTATCTCCTCTCAGAGTTAAGGACTTTATAGGATGGTGATCAGCAAGTAGTAGAACATCTGTTTGATTCTTCTTTTTTGTATGCAAAAACTGTGTATACTTGTAATTCAGGGAAAACAAGCAGGTAGATTTGTTTATGTTTTAGTACATATATTTCTCTCCCTATGTGAACTTAGAAAAATAATGTGCTTACAAATGTCTTTATAGAACTGAGACCTGGGAGGAAATGTCTCCAGATGGCTCCCATGTCCCTGCAGTTTATGGTGCAGCAGGTGGTGTAGCTGATGGTGGTGCCTACTTGTATGTCAGCCATGGTTTTGATATGGACAGGAGGTACTCTACCACACACAGATACAGTATTGAAGACAACCTGTGGGAGGAGGTGTATTCTGGTGGACATCCATATAGTCCTAATTATCCACATGCACGGTAAAACAGCTATTGCAATTTTAAGTATGTTGTCTAGAATATTTTTTTAAAAGGCAGAATATGATTTTAATCAGTCTTAATGCTTTTCATCTCTCTAGATTTTGTATGTGACTTCTTAATTAGTGTTTATGATTTCTGACTTGCATCCATGGATGCTTTGTTTTAGAAACATTCTACTGTTTTGGAAGTATTTGCATTCATGATCTAATGTAATTTTTCAGATGTTTGCATGGAGGCGTGATGACAGCAGAACATAATTTGGTGATTTTTGGAGGATGTTTGAGGTAAGAATTAAAAAAAGTTTGAATTCATTCAAAACCTTATTTGCTAAGTCTTTTGAAAAAATGTGTTTTATTATCCATTATAAATAAATCAGAATGCATGTTTAAAAGTGATGTTGCATCGTGTTTGTGTGTCTTGAATTAATGAGACATCTCATACATAGTGCAGTGTTTATTTATTATTATTATTTTTTTTTTTTGGGGGGGGGGGGGGGGGGGGGAGGTTTTTTTTTTATTTGCCAATCCCAAAAAATAAA